TAATGAATTTAATTTGCAGCAGCCATGCTAATACGCATAACTATTAACTCTGCCCAGCTTTACCTTCCATGGGACCGGCACCTGCTCCCATTAACTTCAGTGGGATACAGATCAAGGCCACAGCATTAATTCCTCCTGGACCTCTTCAGCAGCACTAATTAACCCTCACAGGTGGCTTCAACACAACGACCAGAGAGGTGACAGAAAGTTGCTCAGTGGGAACCCCGGTGAACTGTCCTGCTGCTCCAGAGAATCTCAGTGCAATCAAACTTTGCTCCCCAATACCCCTTTCTCTCGGGAAGGGAACTGCACGTCTAAGGTGACAAGCGGGGCACGTCTCTCCCAGCACGAAATCCTGGCAGCAAAATCTCGCTGAAGGTGACGAGAATACACCGCAACACTTGGCTCTTACGCTGCACTTTGCTCCTTCAGAGACCTGGACAGACGCTGATTTGATTTGCTAAGTCAGTGCTTTTCTGAGCGCTCTGCTATCAGCTCATCACTGCGTGACCCACCTCCATATTAAAGACCAGCCTGGCTCTTTACTCGCAGCCTGTTCATAGGAAATCGGCGAGCCCGTGAACCAGAAATACTCTGTTTATAGAGAGCCCTCCCTTGGAAGCAGAAAGAAACTGAAATATTACAGGCAAAACTTGCTCAACTGTGTTTTGGAAGTGGCACGCCGCGTAGGAAAAGCACTACTTGGGATCAGCAACGCTCCGTTTTGAGACACGCCTGAAGTAGCAATTAATGCTAAAGTGGGGACGCGGCAACGAGGAGCACTCCCAATACAACCCCACCTTAATTACAACGTATATACACACAGCAACCCATACGCTGCCTCCCTTCAGCACTCCCGGCTCTCTACCTCTATAATATCCTGTATGCAAAAATTAGTTTTAGCAAAAATAAAACTCTTTGCTCAGCCAAAAAAAAAAAAAAAAAAGCAGCAGCCCGCACCCCGCTCCCTTGCACCATCTGTGCGTGTTTATTCTCAGCCTTCTGAAAAAGAAAAAAAAAAACAAACCTCTAACGTTTTACTAATCTTTATGCCCCGCCACTATAAATAAAACAAATAAAGCTCAACAACACTTTAGCATCGTAGCTAAAACATATCCAATCCACTCCGATTATTTCTGCTCGTCTGTCCACGAATAGCTGCAGCCATCGGCTTTAGGGGAAGCGTGCAAGTCAGACCGCATTTATTTACAGTTGCACTATCGAGAAAAAGCCTTTCCCCATCTCCTTGTTCTATGAATATTTCAAAACACTTGGGTTTTTCCCCCCCCCTTTTTTTTTTTTTTTTTTTTTTTTGAGAGTGGGGGGGTTGGGGGAGGATGGCGACCAGGGATGCTAGCCCAGGTCCTGCCCCTCAGTTCTATTTTTCCCCGTGTTTCCAGGTCGCCCCGAGTTCTCGCTTGGAGGGATGCGCGGGGCGCGGAGCAGCTCCGCACGCAGAGACGCGGACCCGGGGACACGGACCCACCCCCGGAGAAAGGGACAGCGCCCGCAGCCCCCCGGCCCCCGCAGCCCAGACCCGCCACCTACGTCCCCAGCGTCTCCTTGAACTCGAAGATCTTCTTGATGTCCTCCGCCTGCTTCTTCCAGGAGCCGCCGCCGTCCCCGTTCTCCCGGGCCATGGCCGCGCAGCCCCGCGGATGCCGCGCCGGTGGCTCCGAGCCCTGGGGCGGCTTTTGCTTTCTCTTCTGCCGCGGCAGCAGCCGCTGCTGCTGCTGTTTCTTCTTCTTCTTCTTCTTTTTTTTTT